TCAATTATATGCTTTTTGAAAGTAGCCGAATTCCAATAATCTGTCGAAATTCGACTTTCAATTATATGCTTTTTGAAAGTAGCCGAATTCCAATAATCTGTCGAAATTCGACTTTCAATTATATGCTTTTTGAAAGTAGCCGAATTCCAATAATCTGTCGAAATTCGACTTTCAATTATATGCTTTTTGAAAGTAGCCGAATTACAATAATCTGTCGAAATTCGACCTTCAATTATATGCTTTTTGAAAGTAGCCAAATTCCAATAATCAGTCGAAATTCGACTTTCAATTATATGCTTTTTGAAAGTAGCCGAATTCCAATAATCTGTCGAAATTCGACTTTCAATTATATGCTTTTTGAAAGTAGCCGAATTCCAATAATCTGTCGAAATTCGACCTTCAATTATATGCTTTTTGAAAGTAGCCGAATTCCAATAATCTGTCGAAATTCGACTTTCAATTATATGCTTTTTGAAAGTAGCCGAATTCCAATAATCTGTCGAAATTCGACTTTCAATTATATGCTTTTTGAAAGTAGCCGAATTCCAATAATCTGTCGAAATTCGACTTTCAATTATATGCTTTATGAAAGTAGCCGAATTCCAATAATCTGTCGAAATTCGACTTTCAATTATATGCTTTTTGAAAGTAGCCGAATTCCAATAATCTGTCGAAATTCGACCTTCAATTATTTGCTTTTTGAAAGTAGCCGAATTCCAATAATCTGTCGAAATTCGACCTTCAATTATATGCTTTTTGAAAGTAGCCGAATTCCAAACATCTGTCGAAAAACGACTTTCAATTATATGCTTTTTGAAAGTAGCCGAATTCCAATAATCTTTCGAAATTCGGCCTTCAATTATATCTTTTTGAAAGTAGCCGATTTCCAATAATCTGTCGAAATTCGACTTTCAATTATATGCTTTTTGAAAGTAGCCGAATTCCAATAATCTGTCGAAATTCGACTTTCAATTATATGCTTTTTGAAAGTAGCCGAATTCCAATAATCTGTCGAAATTCGACTTTCAATTATATGCTTTTTGAAAGTAGCCGAATTCCAATAATCTGTCGAAATTCGACTTTCAATTATATGCTTTTTGAAAGTAGCCGAATTCCAATAATCTGTCGGAATTCGACTTTCAATTATATGCTTTTTGAAAGTAGCCGAATTACAATAATCTGTCGAAATTCGACCTTCAATTATATGCTTTTTGAAAGTAGCCGAATTCCAATAATCTGTCGAAATTCGACTTTCAATTATATGCTTTTTGAAAGTAGCCGAATTCCAATAATCTGTCGAAATTCGACTTTCAATTATATGCTTTTTGAAAGTAGCCGAATTCCAATAATCTGTCGAAATTCGACTTTCAATTATATGCTTTTTGAAAGTAGCCGAATTCCAATAATCTGTCGAAATTCGACTTTCAATTATATGCTTTTTGAAAGTAGCCGAATTCCAATAATCTGTCGAAATTCGACTTTCAATTATATGCTTTTTGAAAGTAGCCGAATTCCAATAATCTGTCGAAATTCGACTTTCAATTATATGCTTTTTGAAAGTAGCCGATTTCCAATAATCTGTCGAAATTCGACTTTCAATTATATGCTTTTTGAAAGTAGCCGAATTCCAATAATCTGTCGAAATTCGACTTTCAATTATATGCTTTTTGAAAGTAGCCGAATTCCAATAATCTGTCGAAATTCGACTTTCAATTATATGCTTTTTGAAAGTAGCCGAATTCCAATAATCTGTCGAAATTCGACTTTCAATTATATGCTTTTTGAAAGTAGCCGAATTCCAATAATCTGTCGAAATTCGACTTTCAATTATATGCTTTTTGAAAGTAGCCGAATTCCAATAATCTGTCGAAATTCGACTTTCAATTATATGCTTTTTGAAAGTAGCCGAATTCCAATAATCTGTCGAAATTCGACTTTCAATTATATGTTTTTACCCTCATTCGACTCAGACATCGAGCTGAATCAATGACAATGTTTTGTCCATATCAGACCATGAATTAAAGACCCGCTCTAGGTAGCCATTACAATAAAAATTTTTTAATACCTGTACAAGTGATCGTTTCGCAGCATCCCTCCATACATTTTTTAGTTGCACGTTTGTAATTTCACCGAATACTGAACTCGCACCTTTATTTTTGCCCAAACCTTTAAACATGGTATCCCAACCAATTTTTCTTTTTGTTCCAGATTTTGGGGGACTTGAACTTTTTTCCTTTTCAGCTTTTCCCTCTTCTTTAGGACTTGTTTCACGTTGCTTAGAAGATCCATCTCCATTTCCTCCATTCACATAAATTATCAAAAATGACAAAATTATGAAGGAAAGAAGAAAATTTTTGTGAAGAAATGATTGAAACATTCTTCCTAAAATTTAATTTAAAATTAAAGATTGAGAGAATATAAAGAAGAATAGACAATAGAACTATACCAGGGCGCGAAGTTAGCAGTACGTCAGTACGTTGGGCTCGCGCAGAGTTGGGGGTGTAATCGCTTACAACATTGCTAATTCTCTACTAAACGTATGTTCACCAACCCAAGCCAATTGACAAGCTTCACAAACTTGGGAGACTGTGGCTCAAAATTTAAGATTTTCTAGTACTCGTACTTTCCCACATTGTAACAAGTGAAATTCATTAAGAGGACAAGTACAAATTATGTTACGAGCTTGGAAGCACTGTAGACGAACTGTCTTTTAGAATAGAGACGCGAACAGCTACAGATAATGCAAGTCTGAAGAATCGCGATGGAACTCATTGGTAAAACTCGGAAATAAAAAATATCTAAGAATAAAATTTAATCTAGTCCGACAATACAATTTTGTTTTTTCTCATTTTATTTTCAAAGTTTAAATCCCCGTTAAGTGTCAAAATGCTTCTAGATTAGGTAACTTCCTTTCCTAGAAGTTTATTGGGTAGGTTGTATTTTACATAAAAAGAGGTACTGAAATTGATAAATGCTCTTTTTAAACAGAAATATTTTTTTATTTTTTTTAAATTCAAACGCTCAAAGATACACTGCGACGCAAAATTATACGTCCACCCCATTTTTTCAAAATTTTTCCATTTGTATTGATCAGAATTTTCTGAAAATTTAAATACACATTATTTACTGAATAACTAACAAGATGTCTAAGGATTTTTGGCAAAATTTTTATTTTAAAAATTTTTAAACCAAAATTTGTGTTTTCGGCCTACGCAAAATTATACGTCCACTTTCAAAAAAAGTTATTTCTAACAATGGGAAAAATCTACAAAAATTACAGTAAACTTATATATTGATATTATAAAAAATAAAAAAGAAAGTAGGTCCATATCGTTACTCTAAGCCGAGATCCTGAGATCTCGAAAATCAACGTAAAACAGGGTTTTTCAACTTTAAAAAATATTTTCGACCCCTTATGAATTATTACAAATTTTGATTTTGGACTTATTCGAAAGCCCTTGAAATTTGCTACAAGATAGCATTAATCTTATTTTTCAGAAAAAATTTTATAGTGAGATGTAGACCGTTAATCTTTGGAAGCAACCTTAAGGGGAATTTTATGGGTCATTTAGGAGTTTTTCCTGTATCAAAAGTTTAAATTCGTGTTCCTCTAAAAGAAATTTTTTCTGAAAAATAAGATTAATGCTATCTTGTAGCAAATTTCAAGGGCTTTCGAATAAGTCCAAAATCAAAATTTGTAATAATTCATAAGGGGTCGAAAATATTTTTTAAAGTTGAAAAACCCTGTTTTACGTTGATTTTCGAGATCTCAGGATCTCGGCTTAGAGTAACGATATGGACCTACTTTCTTTTTTATTTTTTATAATATCAATATATAAGTTTACTGTAATTTTTGTAGATTTTTCCCATTGTTAGAAATAACTTTTTTTGAAAGTGGACGTATAATTTTGCGTAGGCCGAAAACACAAATTTTGGTTTAAAAATTTTTAAAATAAAAATTTTGCCAAAAATCCTTAGACATCTTGTTAGTTATTCAGTAAATAATGTGTATTTAAATTTTCAGAAAATTCTGATCAATACAAATGGAAAAATTTTGAAAAAATGGGGTGGACGTATAATTTTGCGTCGCAGTGTATTTAAAATAAAATTAAAAAAAAATAAAAATGTAAATTAAGAAAAGAAAATTTTATTGGGGGGGGGTGAAGAGGAGAGGAGGAGGAGAAGGAGAAGGGAGGGAGAGATAAAAAAAGGCAAATTATAATAAATTTAGTCAAGAAAGGGAAGGGAGGGAAAGATTAAGAGAAAAGGGAATTGAGAGGTGGATAAGAGTTAGAGTTAATCAATTAATGCCACATAGATCTAAAATTTTGAAATAAAGAATATCCCCCCCTCTTCACGAAGAGCTGTCCAATACAAAACATTTCATGATAACAAAACTTATTGTTAGTCCCAAGATTTTAATTAAAATTTTCGGGATTTTTAGAAGGGGTTGGAGGAGGGGGAAATGTTGTTAAACATGGAGGAGTGTAAAAATAAAATTATAACAATTTTAAGCGACTTTTTTTAGAATGCCCTTTTTTATTTGAAAAAAAATTTTTTGATTAACGCTAAAAATAAAGTCTAATGTCTAGCCTCTTTCCCTACCCTTTTTTTATTTAAATTTCATAATTTACAAAGACACCGACATTTTTAAAAAATACATGTAAAATTGATTTTATCTAAAATATAATTGCACTTTATTAATAAACAGGACTCATAAAATACGCCCTGAGGACGAAAATTGTAACTTATAATGAGGCGTATCATAAATAGAAGGCGATGCACCTCTATTTAAGATACTCTCATTATACTAAGATACGATGTTTCTGGACCAATTCTTTTTTTCTAATTTAATAATATGAAAAAAAATTTTTTTAAATGAGGTTAGAGAAATATGTAGGTATTTTATGGATATGCCGCTCCCTATTTTGAACAGGTTAATGAATAAATGATTGCAAAAAATAATATTTGTTTTTTCAATGTCTAACATTTGAATATGCCACAGGAAAATTGAGGAAGTAAGAAAGTCTGACCATTCTGCACATCATAAGGGAAATCTGAGACTCAAAATAGGGGGCGTCATATCAATAAAGTACCGAAAAATATCAAAATTCCTTCTAGCTCATTGTAGAATACAAGAACCATTTACACAATAACTGTTCAGACAAGGATCTTCCCCTATAAATAAAAATTAAAAATTTTCCGAGAAAGCACTAACCATTCGTAAAGCCTGTACAGTTTCCGCCTTGACGGACTTTAGATGTACACAATGGATAGGTGTGGGAACGGTCACAAAATAAATATCTGAAATAAAAAATAATTATTTTTGTCATTATTTAAAATAATAGATATTAGGGAGGAGGGTTGGGGAAGGGGAAGGCGAGGAATCAGAAAGGGTAGGAGGCCTTAAGAGGAGTAACCCCGAGGAAAATTTTTTGTTTAGGAGGCTGCGCTCAAGGGGGAGGGGAGTGGGAGGAGACAACGTGGAGATTAACAAGGACGTGGAGATTAGTGGGAGGAAGAGGGAGGTGACACCTTCACACGATAAAACAAAGACCCCCAAACTTTCCCCAAAAAATTAAATGGAGCCATCCTTTTAACCAGTTAAATTTGATTAATAATTTGATAAATCCCCTACTTTGATCCACATTCTGTCTTGAAACTACAAGTAGGTCTATGGTGAAATTTAAACATATTGTCGGTATATTCATTTCTAAGTCCATCCCAATTTTGTAAGGGCTACAAGTTTTTTTTTAATTTTCAAAAATTAATTGAAAATTTAAAAAAAAATTTTTTACAGCAAATTGTGTCATATTTGCAAATTTAAAATGCTTCTTCAACTCGCAAGCCTCAAATAATTAAAATTTATTTATTTATTAAATTTAAATTTTACAGGAATATCGGCTGGATAGTCATTAGCTCGTTGCCTTCTGTTTTGGGTTATTTCTCTCCAATATTCAAAAACCTAAAAAAAGTTGATTTGTATTTGAAACACGGCTGAGTTACAGGGCTGAAACACTAAGAATCCCTAAGAACCATTTATACATACGTTTCGTGATGTTATAAATCGTTGTTTTTTTGTTTATTTTGGGAAAAATCATTGGGAAAGGCCTTCCAACCATTAGCCAAGGAGGAGAACTGGGTAATTAATGCTTCAACTAGAGAGTATGCATAATTAATCGAGGTGGGGTAATCATTCTGCTATTTTTTAGGAACATAACTAAAGTTGGGTATGTTTACAAGGTGCAGGTATATCGAAGTGGAGGTAGCTCCGAGCGACACTCATGTGTGAGACTATATTCGTCTTAAATAAAATTATCTTTAAATTAAAAAAATTAACCAAATCAACAAAACAATGATGCATAAAAAATATAGGATCATTTGCAGGTTTGTTGGGGATAAATGTAGCCATGTCCCCGCCAATAAATAAGTGAGGGAATCCATGAGGGTACTTTTAAAAATTAAAATAAATTCAAAAAATTAAAAGTAGAATCACTTCAAAAGCATCCCATTCGATTTTTACAGGGCATGCCAGCCTTGCCGATGTATAAGCAAGTACATTTTCCAATTTTGTTTGTGAAAGAGTCCAGTAAACACTTGAAAGAGTATTTTTACTTTAAATTTTAATCATAAAATATTTTTCAGACCAGTGTTAGACAAAATACTTTTCCGGTACCAGTATAAGAAGCATGCCGAAAATTTCAAAATCTTAACGGTATAGTATCGATTTAGTGCCGAACACTAGTCTATGTTCAGCCTATTTATGTGTTATTTCCTACATGCTCTATACAGATCAGTTACTGTTCCCTACAGACAACCTTATATGTCCTCGACTAGTTCGTATTCATTTCAAACTACCAACTGTAATCTCTTGAGAATATATCGGCAAAACAATTCCCGGTTTTTACTTTATGTTCCCTCCCGACTATCTCTTATATTCTCTTCAGACCAGAGGTGGGTCGTCGTCATTCAGGTTTCAGAAAAAATTTTCAAATTTAGATATTTAACCAAATTACGATTTCAGAGACATTCTTCGGCTACAGACTACATATTTCTTTTTATTCCTTCAGACTATTTTGAAAATTTAGGTTAATAATCTCCAAATAAATGCCCAATCTCAGACTAATTTATAACAGCTTGTGCTTCTTAGTTCCGGAGAATAAACTCACTCATATTCCGTAAAGGGTCTGCCAATTTTACCAACATTACGTGTAATATAAGGATCTCCCTAAAACTGATTTTTAAATTTTTAAAAAACCAAAATCACCTCAATAGTCCTCCAGGGAGTAAATGGTCCAGTGACAACATAGCCTCTGTTATCTGTTGTTCCAATAAACTCTTTAGTAAAAAGAATGGAATCTGCAGGGTTTGGCAATCGGCTATCCAAAGTAGAGTCCCAATAGGGCAAGCCAAGTGTTGGATTATACTTTCGAAGCAAAATCTCAAACCTTGATAAATTTTTAAAGTAAATATCATACTTCTTGTTAACTTTATGTCCCTTTCAGGCTACCTTCCATGTTACCTAAGATTATTTCTGAGATCATCTACAGACTCCCCCTCATCTCAGTGTTCTCTTCAGACTTCCCAGTCTTCTCTTCTAGACAATCTCAGTGTTATCTTCGGACTGCTTCCCATTTTCCATCCAGAATACCTACCGTAATTGGTATGCAATATTACAAGTAACTATTCACAGGGTTATTTTGGGTTCCCCAGGGCTTTAGATAATCTATTTAAATATCATTTATCACCTTTTAAGATATTCCCTATGCCAAAGGAAAAAAGCAGGTCCATTGTGAGCTCCTCCGTTTACAAAGGCTAATCTATGTATTAAAGCTATATAATCATAATCTCCTCTTCTTTTCATATCTCTAATTGCATTAAACTTTAAGAATAATTTTTTAATACGATTAAATTTAATGATAAAATGTACAAAAGCATTTCTTTCCTCATCCGTTAACATTCTAATTTCTTTCCGAAGTGCTTTTTGAACTTTCTGGCCATTTCTAAGGGTACAATCATTAACAGAACCATTATTTTTGCCTAAACATAGTTTTGGGAAATTTAAAATATGACAAACTTAAAAACATCAAATTAAAAAATGCCTAATATAAAAATGTCATCTTTAGAACGACAGACACAAAATTAAATTTCAAAACTATAAATTAATTTAAATAAAGGTAATAATACCTCCATAATAAGGGCAAACACAGCTTTGGCTTACACACTCTAATTCCCTTCTAGATGGGGCAATACCTTCTGTATTATTTGGAGAATCTTAAAAAACGACTAAATTTATAATTAAACCTCTGGTTCTATTAAAACTAACATTCCTTGTAGCCCATAATTGTTCACGGTCTAAAAGAGTCAAACAGGCAATAAATTTTACCTAGCCCTTCCCAGTGACTGATTTTTCTCCGAATCGCTCTCCCTTGTCGGGAACAGAGGGAGATTAGAAAGGTGAGAATTGAGGGATATATACATAGAGAAATATGGAGGGGAAAAAGTCAATTTCCCTTCAAAATAAAAAAAATCACAAACTTACATTTAGGATCTAATTTCTACAAATTATTTTTAAAAATTAGAAAAAATTCAACTTTTAAAAACCTCAGCATTCTCAGCAAAAATTACAGCATCTATAGTCTTTTTACATAAAGTCCTTAATCCAAAAGTAGGCTCTTTATTACAGTCATATTTTTGTTGACATAATGCATTATTCATTATAAAATTTATGCCAAATAGAGTGAATAAATAATATTTAAATATTGACATTATTTACTAACTAAATATGGAATTTTAGAGAGAGATTAAAATCCATTTCTTAACATATGTATTTTAACTTAATTACTCGATTAATTTACATCATTTGAGCCCTCCGATGATTACATGACTCCTACAGGATTCAGGCACCTTAATGGACGCTCAAATTGCCCCAAGCTGCCATAAACCCGATTAGTTTAAATAATAATTACTTCTGCCCCCTCCCCATGACAAAGACTTGGGGAACCCTATCACTATACAAATGTCCAGGACCAAGAATTCCTTGATTCAAGACTCAACATTCTATAACAAGACCCACAGCTTGACAAGGAAATGGAAGACTGCGGGTTACTCCAAAAGCAAAAATTTAACCAACCCAAAAATATCCCAAAGAAAATTTTTATTTAATTATTAATCTAACACTAAACATTCTTGGCAAATAAATTTTTGATTTTATAGAAAATTTGTTCACGAAAATTTAATTATAAAATAAAAATCGACAAAAAATTTACGACAAAGGGCGCGTAAAAAATCTTAAAAATTTTTTAAAGAAAAACAATAAAAATAATTTTTTTTGAGCTAAAATAAAATCTTTAACCCATTTTTTTACACGTTTACTTTTTGTATTTGTGCATATTTATTAATGTCTCTAAAAAGTTTTTATTGTACATATATGTATTTTGTTGTACCTAAATAAGTTTTATTAATGTGTAAATATTTTTATTTTTGATCTACTATTGTAAGGTTAGAGAGAATTTTTAATTAAATAAAACAAATAAATAATTTCAGAAAACTTTCTATAGAATTCAGACACGCAATAAATTTAATAATATTTTTAGAAAATAGGGGAGGGGATAGTCTGAGGGGAACATAGAAGGTAGGTTGAAGGGAACTTAAGAGGTATTCATATGGAATGCGTGATTCTTTGAACGCCTAACCTGAGATCGGTAAGAATTCCTTCCAATTTCCGAAAATTTACTCTGATTTCCGATTTAAGAGGCCTATTTAGCCACGTGTATTTATTTTAATATTATTTGGCATATGACATACTATACCTTTTAAAATCAGAACTTACAAATTACATAATGCTTTAAATTGCATTAGGTAAATAAAGTAAAAAAAATTTTTTTATGAAAATATTTATCCAATATTGCAAAATTTAAATTTAATTATAATTTAAGCAGTTACATACATATTTCTTGTTTATTTAATATTTTGATTCGTTCCGTTTAACCTTTTTTTCAGTAATCAGAATATGTACCTATTCACAATCCTCATCCTTACATTCCTCGTGACATGGAGCTTTTGTTGTTGGATAATCCTTAAATTATTAAACATATATTGCAGTTTAATATTCCCTTTACATCACCCAATTTACTTTTGATAAGTAGGGAAAAGTCTTTGAGGGGCCTGCCTAATAAGTTATTTGCTAGCCAGCTAGATCTCCCTTCAAACGTGCTTATTCAGGATCCCAACTAGAAAAATTATTATGCCGAATTTTTGGGATCTCTTATGTGGAGTGTTTTTTCCGTTTCATACCATTTCTTTTTGTGTTGAATGTTCATTTACAGGTTCCTGAGTATTTGGAACAGGTGGCTGTTCAGCTGCCTAAAAATAATATTAAGGTTGAAATTTTTGAAGGAATAAATTGGATGGAATAAGTAAATTTTTGAAAATCGAAAAAAGGATAAGGGTGTGTTAAAGAAATGAGAAATGGGAAAGGAGAGTTGTAAAAGATATACCATTTCTTTTTGTGTTGAAGGCTCGTTTACAGGTTCCTGTGTAACAGGCACAGGTGGCTGATCAGCTGCCTAAATAACAATTTAAAAAATTTTTTTCAAAAACATTTTTCCCAACCATTTTATCCATCGACATAAGCATTGAATTTTGCATACCTCTACAAGCTGATTGTATTTCTGGAGGTGCTTCACTGCAATTAGTTTTGAAAATAATAGCATTATTTATTGAAGCAGTAACAATTAATATTATAGTAAAGAATAAATATTTTGCCATGTTTAAAAACAAATATTCTGAAAGTTTGAGAATTATTTTAATTAATATGTCGACAAAACTGTAAGAAAAAATCCTGGAATTTCTTTAGATTTTGGGACTTAAATTAAGAAAAAATCCAGAAACTCTGAAAAGGCATTAATCTCGTTACTAAATCCAGAAAAATCAAAGAATTAATACATATCCAGTTTGGACTGCACAAAAAATGTATACAAAAGCCCCTCGGTTTGGACACATTCAACGATGGTTCTGGTTCTTCTTCCATCCAATGAATTCAAGTTTAATTCGGCACAAAATAATTTAAAATTAAGAAAAAATTTTTAAAAATATAAAAATGAATAAAATTATTATTAAATTCTATTTTAAAAATTATTTAAATTATTTTAAAAAATCCTTTCATTGTAGAGATTGACGTCTTTTAACACTGTTTAAATAAAATAAAATTTTAATGAAAAATTCTAAATAAAAAAAATGTGTTGGCATTTAAATAAAATTTAAAAATTAAAAAAAATTTTTTTTAATTTTAATTTTAGAAAAAGACAAATCTGGGACCAGAGATGACGGAAATTAAAGTGTCGGAATGGAGCACCCAGTCGACTTAAGGAGATAAAAACATAAAATTTTGATTTTGTTCTCGAGATATTTGGTTTATAAAATAAAATTCGATGGATAATTCCTATTTTCCAGCCCTAAATTTATGGTCTCGCATATCGCATTAATAACAAGTTTTTTTCGAACCCAGTCAAAGTCGAGTACGAATTTCGTGGTCCCATAAAGTTGATGGTTAGTTTTCAAGGCTGGATTAGGATTTTTAGCATTTTATGTGTTCAGAACTCTTAACTAGTAGTTTTTCTACTTTCGGCCTTCAAGTATGGACGTGATTGATCCCGAACAGGGATCAATCACTGTAGTTTTATAATGAGATTTTTGAACGGAAAATAGAAAATATTTATCTCCCATTTGACCTTATTACAATCTATTTCACTATTTTTGTCACGTATTTTTAGAATTTTTTGCAACCTATTTAGGTATCAATTTTAAGATTTTTACAACCTGAAAATCCGACCCTTAGTTATTATTATCAAAAAATTGAATTTTTGACGCCAAAAAAGATGAATTCAGGCTTTCTGGCCATAGGAAATTCAAATAATTTCTTCCTGCGCCGCAAGAATGAAGAAAGGGATACTTCAACATATATTCACAATTAGGTTTGCCGAAGTAAACGGAAGATGAGAGCGAGATGTCGAAATTCGACCTTCAATTATATGCTTTTTGAAAGTAGCCGAATTCCAATAATCTGTCGAAATTCGACCTTCAATTATATGCTTTTTGAAAGTAGCCGAATTCCAATAATCTGTCGAAATTCGACCTTCAATTATATGCTTTTTGAAAGTGCTGAAGTGCTTTTGAAGTGCTTCAATTATATGCTTTTTGAAAGTAGCCGAATTCCAATTTGAAAGTAGCCGAATTCCAATAACAGATTATTGGAATTCGGCTACTTTAAAAAAGCATATAATTGAAGGTCGAATTTCGACAGATTATTGGAATTCGGCTACTTTCAAAAAGCAAATTTACACAAAGAATAATTAACTCAATCTCGTTGGCAGAAAATTTACAACTTTTTCTATCTTATTCTGTCCAAATTATATTCAATTATATGCTTTTTGAAAGTAGCCGAATTCCAATAATCTGTCGAAATTCGACTTTCAATTATATGCTTTTTGAAAGTAGCCGAATTCCAATAATCTGTCGAAATTCGACTTTCAATTATATGCTTTTTGAAAGTAGCCGAATTCCAATAATCTGTCGAAATTCGACTTTCAATTATATGCTTTTTGAAAGTAGCCGAATTCCAATAATCTGTCGAAATTCGACTTTCAATTATATGCTTTTTGAAAGTAGCCGAATTCCAATAATCTGTCGAAATTCGACTTTCAATTATATGCTTTTTGAAAGTAGCCGAATTCCAATAATCTGTCGAAATTCGACTTTCAATTATATGCTTTTTGAAAGTAGCCGAATTCCAATAATCTGTCGAAATTCGACCTTCAATTATTTGCTTTTTGAAAGTAGCCGAATTCCAATAATCTGTCGAAATTCGACCTTCAATTATATGCTTTTTGAAAGTAGCCGAATTCCAAACATCTGTCGAAAAACGACCTTCAATTATATGCTTTTTGAAAGTAGCCGAATTCCAATAATCTTTCGAAATTCGGCCTTCAATTATATCTTTTTGAAAGTAGCCGATTTCCAATAATCTGTCGAAATTCGACTTTCAATTATATGCTTTTTGAAAGTAGCCGAATTCCAATAATCTGTCGAAATTCGACTTTCAATTATATGCTTTTTGAAAGTAGCCGAATTCCAATAATCTGTCGAAATTCGACTTTCAATTATATGCTTTTTGAAAGTAGCCGAATTCCAATAATCTGTCGAAATTCGACTTTCAATTATATGCTTTTTGAAAGTAGCCGAATTCCAATAATCTGTCGAAATTCGACTTTCAATTATATGCTTTTTGAAAGTAGCCGAATTACAATAATCTGTCGAAATTCGACCTTCAATTATATGCTTTTTGAAAGTAGCCGAATTCCAATAATCAGTCGAAATTCGACTTTCAATTATATGCTTTTTGAAAGTAGCCGAATTCCAATAATCTGTCGAAATTCGACTTTCAATTATATGCTTTTTGAAAGTAGCCGAATTCCAATAATCTGTCGAAATTCGACCTTCAATTATATGCTTTTTGAAAGTAGCCGAATTCCAATAATCTGTCGAAATTCGACTTTCAATTATATGCTTTTTGAAAGTAGCCGAATTCCAATAATCTGTCGAAATTCGACTTTCAATTATATGCTTTTTGAAAGTAGCCGAATTCCAATAATCTGTCGAAATTCGACTTTCAATTATATGCTTTTTGAAAGTAGCCGAATTACAATAATCTGTCGAAATTCGACCTTCAATTATATGCTTTTTGAAAGTAGCCAAATTCCAATAATCAGTCGAAATTCGACTTTCAATTATATGCTTTTTGAAAGTAGCCGAATTCCAATAATCTGTCGAAATTCGACTTTCAATTATATGCTTTTTGAAAGTAGCCGAATTCCAATAATCTGTCGAAATTCGACCTTCAATTATATGCTTTTTGAAAGTAGCCGAATTCCAATAATCTGTCGAAATTCGACTTTCAATTATATGCTTTTTGAAAGTAGCCGAATTCCAATAATCTGTCGAAATTCGACTTTCAATTATATGCTTTTTGAAAGTAGCCGAATTCCAATAATCTGTCGAAATTCGACTTTCAATTATATGCTTTATGAAAGTAGCCGAATTCCAATAATCTGTCGAAATTCGACTTTCAATTATATGCTTTTTGAAAGTAGCCGAATTCCAATAATCTGTCGAAATTCGACCTTCAATTATTTGCTTTTTGAAAGTAGCCGAATTCCAATAATCTGTCGAAATTCGACCTTCAATTATATGCTTTTTGAAAGTAGCCGAATTCCAAACATCTGTCGAAAAACGACTTTCAATTATATGCTTTTTGAAAGTAGCCGAATTCCAATAATCTTTCGAAATTCGGCCTTCAATTATATCTTTTTGAAAGTAGCCGATTTCCAATAATCTGTCGAAATTCGACTTTCAATTATATGCTTTTTGAAAGTAGCCGAATTCCAATAATCTGTCGAAATTCGACTTTCAATTATATGCTTTTTGAAAGTAGCCGAATTCCAATAATCTGTCGAAATTCGACTTTCAATTATATGCTTTTTGAAAGTAGCCGAATTCCAATAATCTGTCGAAATTCGACTTTCAATTATATGCTTTTTGAAAGTAGCCGAATTCCAATAATCTGTCGGAATTCGACTTTCAATTATATGCTTTTTGAAAGTAGCCGAATTACAATAATCTGTCGAAATTCGACCTTCAATTATATGCTTTTTGAAAGTAGCCGAATTCCAATAATCTGTCGAAATTCGACTTTCAATTATATGCTTTTTGAAAGTAGCCGAATTCCAATAATCTGTCGAAATTCGACTTTCAATTATATGCTTTTTGAAAGTAGCCGAATTCCAATAATCTGTCGAAATTCGACTTTCAATTATATGCTTTTTGAAAGTAGCCGAATTCCAATAATCTGTCGAAATTCGACTTTCAATTATATGCTTTTTGAAAGTAGCCGAATTCCAATAATCTGTCGAAATTCGACTTTCAATTATATGCTTTTTGAAAGTAGCCGAATTCCAATAATCTGTCGAAATTCGACTTTCAATTATATGCTTTTTGAAAGTAGCCGATTTCCAATAATCTGTCGAAATTCGACTTTCAATTATATGCTTTTTGAAAGTAGCCGAATTCCAATAATCTGTCGAAATTCGACTTTCAATTATATGCTTTTTGAAAGTAGCCGAATTCCAATAATCTGTCGAAATTCGACTTTCAATTATATGCTTTTTGAAAGTAGCCGAATTCCAATAATCTGTCGAAATTCGACTTTCAATTATATGCTTTTTGAAAGTAGCCGAATTCCAATAATCTGTCGAAATTCGACTTTCAATTATATGCTTTTTGAAAGTAGCCGAATTCCAATAATCTGTCGAAATTCGACTTTCAATTATATGCTTTTTGAAAGTAGCCGAATTCCAATAATCTGTCGAAATTCGACTTTCAATTATATGCTTTTTGAAAGTAGCCGATTTCCAATAATCTGTCGAAATTCGACTTTCAATTATATGCTTTTTGAAAGTAGCCGAATTCCAATAATCTGTCGAAATTCGACTTTCAATTATATGCTTTTTGAAAGTAGCCGAATTCCAATAATCTGTCGAAATTCGACTTTCAATTATATGCTTTTTGAAAGTAGCCGAATTCCAATAATCTGTCGAAATTCGACTTTCAATTATATGCTTTTTGAAAGTAGCCGAATTCCAATAATCTGTCGAAATTCGACTTTCAATTATATGCTTTTTGAAAGTAGCCGAATTACAATAATCTGTCGAAATTCGACCTTC